GCCGCGCCCCCCCTGCAATGGCTCTGCGCCCCCCCTAGGGGGCGGGCCCCACACTTTGGGAACGTCTGCTGTAACTTGTTCTTGTAAACAGCTAAAATTAAAAAAAAAAAAAAGCATCTCTAAAAATATGGTGTCAAAATCACGGAGTATTATAATAATGAGTACTAATTGGCTAAACCAGAACACCAACAGCATTCTTCTTTTCACTAAACCGCATCAACAGTTACGGTAACTCGCTGCATTTTAATGACAACAGTATATTACTGTGGTCTCATTCACTTATGCATTTTGAACTTTATCTATACTTCTGAGAATTCCAGGAAGGATTAATTCCTGGAATTCTCAGAAGTATAGATAAAGTTCAAAACATGTCTCATACAACAAAGGTTCAGAAAATGATCCACTAGATGGCAGTGCTGCTCAAAATATAAATAGAGCGATGAAAACATAAATAATCTAGCTACATCTGATCTGAATCTAGCGAATTCAGATCCCTAATTTTGTTTAATATGTAGAAAGACAGTGTGTCATATATTACTAACTGGATAAAAGCTGAAGGCTTTGCATTCCATTCTTTTTGTGAAATGTCTAGAAATCACACGTAAGCCAGCAGTCAGTAAGAAAAGTGCTCTGTCAAAAAGGTAGTATGAGGTCTTATATGATGGAGCCTGATTATATAAGATATTGTATGTGAGGAGCAGGACTTTAAATTCAGTTCTGGATTTAACAGGAGGTCAATGAAGAAAAGACAATATAGGAGACATATGCTCTCTCCTACTAGTACCTAGTCAGTACTCTTATGCAGTATTCTGGATCTGCAGGTAGTTTCTAGAGCCTCCTGATAATAATGAATTTAGAAGTAATAAATACATTAACTAGCTTTTCAGTATCACTCTTGAGAGCCTCTAGATCATTTAAAGATGCTGTAGAAGCACTCGGTTCTGTCCCTCTCTTCTGACCTCCTGGGTAAATATTGGTGACAATTTGAACTGAAATTTCGGATTCATCACTTATACCACATGCTGTAACGGATTTTCAGTCCAGTTCTTGTGTAAATTAGCATACCTCAGCCTTTCCTCCCCATTTTCCTTCCTTAAGAATGATAGTCACCCTTCCACTTAAAGCATTACTGATGATGCTGTAGATGGATCAACTGAAGGGCCAGAGGCATCACTCCAGACCTGTGTCAGGTCTTTGCTGGATTTTCTTCTTAAGGATATGACTTTCAGATACTATTCATCTGCTGTACACAGCTTTTTAGTCCTGCTTCTTAATCATTTGCCCTCTATTTTTCCAATTCCATCAGTGTTTCCTAACAACACACTGCTCACTATGCCAAGTTTTCAGCTAATCATTCTCTGGGAATCACCTTGTTGGTGCAGAAATACAATTGTATGCCCATCAAACTCTTATCTTTGTCATTTTTCATAGACTCATCTGAAGAAATGGGATCAAATTAGGTCCTTTGTGACAGGCTGCTAGTAACAAACTGCCCTATTTATGCTTGATTCATAGGTCAGTGTTGAAGGGCCCGAACAAACAAAAACAGTCCTTTGAAAATTGTCAACGGAATATATTTAAAATGGGTGGATAAAGCAGAAAAACAAAAGGCCTGAAGAGCTACTTCTTAAAAAAAATACAAGAAGATCTGGCTCCTTGGAAGCAAAATAAGAAGAAATGCAGACACTTTTGCTCAAGCATTTCTTTAGTTTGGAAAATAAATCGTAATGACTTTGAATTTTCCAAAAATTTAAATAAATTTTACTCAACACTGGCAAAAAGTTTTCAGCTGTGGGCAATCAACTTTGGTTTCTGAAGGGACGAATGATTAAACTGTTGTAACTTTACTCTAAAACCAAATCTTAATCATCAGTCAACCATGTGATGCTGTTAGGACCAGCCAAAAGATCCACACATTGGAGAGATTTTTCTTTTATCACAACAGAAAGAAGAAAACACACATGTATTTACTTTGTGGGGACCCTCAAAAACATTATGGATTAACCATTCTAATCTGAACCTGATTCCTCAGGCAGGGATCAACAAATGTCCCTCACAAGGTGTAAAATTCCCCACATAGACAGATATACAAGATCACACACACACACACACACACACACACACACACACACATGCACAAAATGATATAACAAAGTCACACTTGTCTATGAGTCTTTATTTGTGTTTTTCATAGAGAACATTTAAAATGGTTCATACCCCCACAATAACTGACATCACTTCTCTGCTTTATAACACTGACACAGGAACAGGGGAACGTACACAAGTACACAAACAATCAGTCACAAAATTGGCCCATCTACAGTGTTTTACTTCCCAAACAAAAACAAATTAGGCAAAAAACCCAAACAAACAAACAAACATGAGACCCCAAGGACACACAGCCAAGGCCTGTCCCACTTTAAAAAACGTTGCTGTAGCAAAGGAACGACCACATCTACAAAAGTAACAAAAACCACCGTACAATCTATCGTTGTGGAAGTGCTTGTAATTTTGGAAGTTTTGTACTTTAAAAGGATATCAGTATCAATACCTAGAAAATCACCAGTAAAAATAGCTCATCTGTGTAAAAATGTGCTAGCAGGACAACCCTTGGCTGCGGATTTTTTTTTCCCCTTGGCAAAAACCAATTTCCTTTTTTTTTCTTTTTTTTAAACCATTTTCAACTCGTCTTCGATACAACAACAATAACACTGTTTCTTCTTAATACAAATATGTACAGACACTTCCACTTGTTTCAAAATAATGCCCTGCACACTAATGCATTATCTAGGGATGGATAGGATGATGATGATGATGATAATGATGATGATGTTCTTCAGATTCCTTCACAGAAACTGTCCATGCAGTTTTGGTACCTGAATCGACAGAATGGGATCACAGTTTCCTTAGGCTCGTTGTTTCGTGCCATCTCTGTCACAGAACGGCCTCTGCCTGGATGTGAAAACGCATTTATTCGACATGATCAGCCCCCGCCCCTCCCGAACAGCTAACCCCGCCCCTGAACGTAAAACATCTAGATTCAGACCAAATGTTTTCAGCAGTATTTGAACCAAGTGTAAACATACCCTATCTCAAAATGAGTTCAGCAAGAAAGGCACACATGATAAGACCACACAGCTTGCGACTACAACAGGGAGGATGTTGGGGGTCTTTTGGTTTTGCTCAGCTTGACATTTCTTTCTTATTCTCAGTGTAGAGTGTGCGCGCGTGGGCATCAACCTGCTCTCGCCAGGTGACGATGCGCTCCCCTCCTCTGACCCCTCTGAAACAAGATTCTGGTTCCCCCGAACGTTTCATCAGGTTCAATTCAATTTTCGTCCCAGGTGCTTGGGGGGAAACTGAGCCCTGACCAGTTTTGTTGTTCCTTTGCAATTTAGAATAATAAATCTGCTCACTCCATCACTCGGTACTTTTATGTAAATAAGAAAACATACAGTGCGTGGGCGCAGAACCAACCGTGGGCTGCATTTGCTTTCTCAGCTGACATTTTTTCTTTTTTTTTTGAAATGCTATGCTTTCATGGCCTCAGTGTTATTCATTTACATACCTCAGTAGACAGTTTCATCAAGCAGTTTAAAAGGGGTCATGCCTTATCAAATAAGTTAGGAGAATATTCAGTCTTAACACTCTCGGGTAGTATTCTCGTGCATTTCAAGAGAGGGAATATGCTACTTTGTTAACCAAATGCATCCAAACTATTTTTCCTGGGGAGAGGTTACACAAAATATGAGGAATGAGGGGAGGGGCGTCGTGTAGGGATTTTGGCGGGGAGGGTGTGGGGAGTATAAAAGTCATAAAAGGCTCTGACATTCTTTTGAGTGACGGACTCGTATTTATGCAACAAACGCCTCCTCCTAAAGCAAAGGGGAGATTGTGTAGCCGGGCAAATCAATTTCCCACTCCCACACACTCATCTAGGCCTTGATCCAGCCGCTGCTGTTGCCTCTAGCCTCAGCTGACTGGCTGACCTATGGCATTGCTCTGCTCTGCTTTAGCAGCTCTCCCCGATCACCTGAGAACCAAACTCTGCTTCCCATCAGTCTCTTTTGGTTGTTCTTTTTTTCCTGTTTGTTTGGAAAAGAAAGTACCACTTCCTATTTTAAAAAATACATTTTGAACCCCCTGAATGAAACGGCTTGTTTTTTTGTGTGTTTTTTTCTATGTGACAAACAGGCGGGACAATTACCTGTCATCTATCTATTGGGTTTCTTACAAGTCAAGACTTAAAATGCTGGCATCTTCAACAGTTATTGAGAAAGTGCACAAAGGAGATTCATTCTACATTGGCTAAAAGCACATTGAAAACATGCCTTCGACATCAGAGTTACACACGGGGTGGTGTACACCACAGCAGGTGCAACGCAAAGGCAGGTTACACTACGGTCTTCTACTTGCTCACTTCAGTATCGGAAAGCTCACAGAGAGTGAGTTGTTTCCATTATTAACACAATCACTGCACAATGTTGCTAAACACTATGCGCATTACTCAGAGGCATCACCATTTTTTTTTTTGTGTGTGTTTTTTTTTTTCTCAATTTTTTTTTTCATACATGAACTCACATGACACTTAGGAACAAAGAGCCAACCATCTAAACTGATGGTTTCATTTCTCAGATTCAGTAGTACAACATACAGGAGATGTTTCTGACATTTCTGGATCAGGGACAGACAAGGAAAAAGAAAATTTAAAAAAAGGAATCCTATGAGAACACTTCCAAAGTATTGTACTGTATCATCGCCTTCAGCTTTGACTCAATGGTATGTTTAAAGCCACAGTTGAGCAGGTCTTAGTGATATTAATTAAGGTGTAACTGCCTCCTACTGATAATCCCTCCTCATTTCTCTTTCAAATAAGCTAGTGATCTTTTGATAAGGATATACAAGAGAAGAAGAAGAAGAGCAAGTCAACAATTACACTGTAAAAATATATGTATGTTTATATTCATATATATATATATATGTATATATATAGCATCTTTAAAATCTATTTATACAGAATGTATATATAGTGTACTTATGGCCATCTTGGCAGAGAAATAAAGGCATCTGAAACAATCACCACTCTTTCGATGCTGTGGTCTCCTCAGGACCAGACATTGTTACATTGCAGAAATGCGAAGAGTCAGGAAAGAAAGTGAGTTCTCTTCTTCTCCTTTATTTATTTATTTTTTAGTGGCACTTTGTGCATCAAAAAATTAAAATCTAGAGTAAGGCTACAAGGGTGTGTATGTTTATCTGATAAAAGTTTGTCAAAGGAGGCCATCCTACAGTATCCTCGAGGGTTGGATATGTCGCTGTGTGTGTTTTAGACTCGTACATCCAGACTAAAACACTGCTGGAATAGAGCTCTACACATGTACCACTGCACTGATGTAAAGAATTCAAAACCGTTACTTAAACAGCCATGGTACATCACAGAGATTGTGGGTGAGCCACTTCTGGCTGCTACAAAGCGCTTGGGAGAGGTAACATTTTTTTAAATTCCTCTACAAATTGTTCTCATCACCTGACAAAAGCAAACACTCAGAGAGCGGATAGTGAAAGTGATTGCTTTTGAGTATTTTTTTTGTTTGTTTGTTTTGTTTTGTTTTTTTAACAATCAGCTGCTGGTACATCTATGCCTAAGCAATCAAACAGTATTTGAATTGATTTTATTTATTTTTTTGTTCTTTATTTAAATATTAGCAGAGGATCTTTAAGACTACTCAGACTCAACTGTCACATCACGCACATAAATAACAAAATAAATATACAGCCATATCAGTCAATTTCTTTCATATTAAATAAATAATAAATACATACTTTCTTTTTGTTTTCATCTCCTCATCTGTGTTTTTTAATGTAACAGAAAGAACACAAACAAAATAAAAACGAGGAAAACAAGAGCAACAAGCCAAAAAAATATTTTTTTTTACTGTAAAATTATCAAAAAAAATTTGAGTCTATTATAAAATATTTGCACTTAAAAAGGATTTTTAAAAAGTACTCCAAAACAAACTATGCCTTGTCATTTATCTATATAGACTTTTAAAATATTGACGTACGACATCTGCAAATTGCTTTTTGACCTTGATAATCAGTAAAGATGCATTGTGTGTGTTTCACTAAACAAAGTTAATAAATAGATTGCTTCAAATAAATAAACCTCAATAACATAAATGGCAATAAGTTACAATTTAAAAGTTCACAGATATAAATAATTCATATATAACAATAATTGTTGTACCACAAAAACTAGTCATTGAAATGAAGTGCAATTCCTAGGCTGATAAGTACTATAGATATGACTAACTGAATTCGAAATGTGTGCACACTATTACTATCATTTCATTGGGTGGGGGGGGTCTGCAGCGTTTAAATCTAACTCGCGACCTTGCTTGATGAGGTTTTTTTTCCCCACTGATGATTGCTGCAGTAATACCACCAAGCAAACGCACATTCAGTTTGGTGCATGCCGGGGGGTGTGGTGCGAGTATGGTTATGGATCAGAGAGATTTTCAGAGCTGCAGATGCTTGCCATAGAGAATGCTACAGGAGACAGTGGCGTTGGGAGTCTTCTGCTCCAGTTAGTACTCCTCTTCCTGTCTCCGGGCTCTGGCGAGCAATACTCGAGCCTCGCCTGTCTCAGTGTTCCGGCCGAGGAGAAATGCTAAAAAACTGACTGACCAGTTGCGAAACCCTCTCCGAAAAACAGTTAAGGACACAAAAGAGACAACAGGTAAACATACAGTATATTTAAACCCCCAGATACAGCTTCTAGTAACATGGATCTTCTTCTAGTTCCTCCTTTGAATCCCAGCAGCAGCATGATGTGGATTTTGGTCCGCGTCACTTTTCTTCAACAGAGTGCTCCCTGGGTTGATTTTTTTAAGTTGCCATTTACTTAAATAACCTGAATTCCCTTTTTTTGTTTTTGAATCATATTTCGATATATCATAGAGCATTTCAACCTCTCTCCTTCCTGACTCCACCTCCACCGCGTTCTCTGCACTTTGGGACAGTTTGCGTTCTCCATTTGTATGTGTGGAGCCTCAAACCTTGATGCCCTTCACAGCTTTATTGATGCTCTCCAGCAGAGCCTTGTTCTCGGGGCTCTGGAAGCAGTCCTTGTTGGTGTACATGTCAGTCAGGGTGCTGATGTATCTGTCAAAGTTCTGCTCTGTGATTGGCTCCTGCTGTGGTGCAAATGAAAACCAATCTCAACTGAGGGGGGCAAACAGAAACAAGGCTCCACGCGCTCTTCAGCGCACCAGATTTGCCTTCAAGCAAATGCACGATCAATGACAACAGGGTGTGAATGCAGACTTACCATGTGCGGCAGACGGATATTAGCCAGGCTGCGGATGAGGGCTCGGCTCAGACCAGACAGCTCCATGAACAGAGCCTCATTCTGCTCCTCAATCATCTTATTCTCGTGCTCAATGCTTTTCAGGTTCTTCTCCATAGAGGAGATCTGCAACGCACAGCAGCAGACCATCAGCAAATGAATTAATATTCAACTAGAAATCCATATCTATTTAATAGCAGCTGTGGTGACTGGCAATGTAGTGGCCATAGTCCAGACATTATACAGACATTTTTTTCTTCTCTAGTGGCTCGCACCATCTGATATCTTCATTGTTTCTGGGATGTGGAAACACCATGCATCACACATCACAACAATGTGATTGGTCAAATGCAATACTGATACTGGACAATTTTTTACCCATCTTTAAAGTGTCCTGCTGCCTGCAGTGCTCTTTAGAGTCTCAACTGCAGAAACTGTAATCCTGGTAAAAGACGTTCCAAAAACTGTAATCCTGGTAAAAGACGTTCCAGATAAATATCCTCCTGTAATTATAGTTCTCTATTCATTCTCAACAGTGTCATGCTTATGAAACCAAGGTTTCATAAGGTGGTGACAGTGATCAATAATTACTTTATCTCTTTTGCAAGAGACTGGCTAAGGTAGGCAGTATTGCTGTTGCATGGAGAAACTGGAGCTCCTCGAGAAAACAAGAGCATACACTGAAGATCACACTAAAGGGAAAAAAAAACCCCAACAACAAACACACACCTGAGTCTGCAGGTTGACCATGTCAGCCTCCATTTCATTGTTGGATTCATTAAGGTCATTAATCTCTTTGTTGAGCTGCTTGATGTCCTCATCATTGTCCAAAACTAAAGGAGAGGCGAAGAGAAAAGCATGTTTTGCAAAAAAAAAAAACCCCAAAAGAAAACA